GGTGGGTTTGAACCGCCAGCCGTCTGGTTAGCAGGCAAGTGTCTTAGCCACTATGCTACCAGAGCTCCCACAATTTAATAAGAAAGGCAATACTCTATCAGAAATTTATCTGCTTGTTTTTCAGATTATCTAGGATAATACAAGTGTGTGGGTAGGTATAAAATCTCAAATTTTTATTCAATCCTGTGTTCTCTGAAAAGTGCCTGTCACTAAGATACAGGTTGACTGATTATTGAAATGAGTTGGCAAAACTGCATTGATAATAAGAATCACCTGTTGTTTGATGATTGTGTACTTAATAAATTCTTACAGCTTTTACAAATTAAAATTGTTCATCTTTTCAATCAGTAAGAAAGAAAACAAGGAGAAGGAAAATGAAAGAAATATATTGTTATATCTTAAACACAAGCTTGTAGGTTTGTGACTGCCCCTTACAAAGAATTCACTACTCTGCTGTGGGTTAAGAAAAATTAGGATAGGAAAGATCAGTGTAAGATATATTTCAAGACTTGAAATTGTTCACATTTTGAGCATATATTATGGCTGAGAGTGGAAAATTGGCTTTTTGGTCCACACTGGAAATTAACTGTGGGCAAGGACTCAAATTCTTGATTCCATGACACTTTGAAATTATTAGTATATGGTAAAAACAGTTTATGTAAGTGGGATCAAAATGTCTTGGAACTGTCTTTCCATATACCTAATACTCTGTCTTATTCATGTGCTAGTAAACTTTTTCATCTTGAGCCGAATCGGGGCTTAATATAAGAACTATACAATGTAGATGACAAATGGTTAATGGTGCTTAATTTCTTTTTTTTTTTTTTCCCCTTCCTTAGATATATCCAGAAAGTGCCCGGAAGAAACTACCTGCCAGAAAAACTGAAAAAGCAGTATTTATAACACTAGACTTTGGATAATTTATCAACATGGCAGAAAATATTGAAAATAATAGTAAAAATGTAGATGTAAGACCCAAAACTAGTCGGAGTAGAAGTGCTGATAGGAAGGACGGTTATGTATGGAGTGGAAAGAAGTTATCTTGGTCAAAAAAGAATGAGAGTTGTTCAGATGCTGAAACAGTGGATACTATAGAGAAAACGGAAGTTCCTTTAAGGAGCCGAGAAAGGAAGCACAGCTGTTCATCCATCGAGTTGGACTTAGATCATTCCTGTGGGCATAGATTTTTAGGTCGATCTCTTAAACAGAAACTACAAGATGCTGTAGGGCAGTGTTTTCCCATAAAGAATTGTAGTAGTCGGCACTCTTCAGCACTTTCATCTAAAAGAAAAATTCATATCAGTGAACTCATGTTAGATAAGTGTCCTTTCCCACCTCGATCAGATTTAGCTTTTAGATGGCATTTCATTAAACGACATACTGCCCCTCTAAATCCCAAATCACATGAATGGGTAAGCACAGACTTGTCTCAGAGTGAATTGAGAGATGGTCATCTAAAACAAAGAAGAAACATGGAAGAAGATCTAAACTGTTTCTCACATATCAGTGTTCAGCCCTGTGTCATAACTACAAACAATGCTTCGTGTATAGGTGGTCCAATGACTGGCTCCGTGATAAATCTGGTTTCAAATAATAGTGTAGAAGATAGTGATATGGATTCAGGTGATGAGATTGTAACACTTTGTACAAGTTCCAGAAAAAGAAACAAACCCAAATGGGAAGTGGATGATGAAATTCTGCAGTTGGAAACACCTCCTAAGTACCATACCCAGATTGATTATGTTCACTGTCTTGTACCAGACCTTCTTCAAATCAATAACAATCCATGTTATTGGGGAGTCATGGATAAGTATGCAGCCGAAGCTCTACTAGAAGGAAAACCAGAGGGAACCTTTTTACTTCGAGACTCAGCACAGGAAGACTACTTATTCTCCGTTAGTTTTAGACGTTACAGTCGTTCTCTTCATGCTAGAATTGAACAGTGGAATCACAACTTTAGCTTTGATGCACATGATCCTTGTGTCTTCCATTCTCCTGACATTACTGGGCTCCTAGAACATTATAAGGACCCAAGTGCCTGTATGTTCTTTGAACCACTTTTATCTACTCCTTTAATTCGGACTTTCCCCTTTTCCTTGCAGCATATATGCAGAACAGTTATTTGTAACTGTACAACCTATGATGGCATTGATGCCCTTCCAATTCCTTCATCTATGAAATTATACCTAAAGGAATATCACTATAAATCAAAAGTTAGAGTACTCAGGATTGATGCACCAGAACAGCACTGCTAGGAACAGGGTAGGAACATCTGATTACCATACATGTTTTTATTTCATATTTATGCTTCTTATTCTGCCACTTTGATTTTTTCTACAAGGACAGTTGGAATCCAAAATAAACCTCTTCCAAATCTTCCAAATCAGTTTATTTTTCTTATAATATACTAATTGCATAAGGTTACACATTAGGATTAATGGATATTTTTGACCAGATGTTTGGTTTTTGTTTTTACCATACATTATATACTTAATTTTTTTTTCTTAATTGTAATTTTTATATGATACAGGTATATTTGAAATTTGGTAGGCATTGCAAACACTTTCATGCATCTTTAAAAATAATACTGTGTCCTTCCTATATGTAAAATGTTTTGTTAATCTATACTATTAGTATTGCTATACATAAAATATAGTTTCCCCATCCCATTTTCAATGAAATGTTTTAAAATTCTTCCATAAAGTTGAGTGTGTTATAATACACAAGTCATACTAACCATAATTGACATTTATAATTTTCTAATAGAGATGTTAAAGGTAGCAAAATCGTTTAAAATCAAATTCAATGTTGTGTTCTCATTTTATGTAGTGACTCAAAAGCAGGATTACTGCATTTGCTCACTATCAGTGAGAATCAAATGAGAACATGACATTTTGGAGGTGATTTTATTCTACAGTGTGGCAGCATTGTTTGTTATGTTTTAATAGGTCTTTGTCTTCAACCTGGAAGAGTCAACCTATCTTCAACATATAAATATTGTTCCTTTCTCATTTGAAGCTTTAAAAATAATGATAACACCATTATTAAGTAGTAATTACTAAAGTACTAAAAAAAACTGGGAATTTTCTGCATTTACTTAGGAACTGTTGCTTCTACTTAGCCCTTTATAGAAATTCTGAACCTCTTACTTTGAGGAGATTCACAGTTTATAAACAGCCATAAATTTTCACTGGTAACCAAAGAGTACCTATGTAATTTTTCATTATTTTAAATTGAATTTGAATAAAGATTGAAGAATTATATGTGAGCTCAGTATTCAGGAAGACTAAAATAATTTTTTTTTTTTTTTTTCCAATTTTCAAATGATTCCTATCTTCAGAATTACATCTTTACTATGGCTTCAAAAAAGGAAAATCTTGACAGCTACAAGGTTTGTGGCGTACCGAATAGTACTGGGCAGCAAGGGTAATATTTTTAATATACTATCCCAAGAATAGGAAGCATTTTTAGAAACAATTATCCCAGTATAACTAATAAAGATAAGTGGAGTCTTAGCTTCTTTCATTTTATAATGTATTTTTTTTGTTCTTAAGACTACACAGCAGAACATAGACCAGTTCAGCAATTTCTGCATGTATAATTCAGTGGCACTGATTAATTCTTTTGGCGGTTTAGCCATTTTTACCCTCCTTTTCCAAGTTGTTCTTCCCCCATTAATATAAACTCTCTGCCCCTTAAATCTCCTATTTAATCTTTCATAACTTTTCTTTTTTAAAAATTGATGAGTAATAAATCTCTTTTCTTACTCATATGCATAGATAGTTACTTAACTTCTGATCTGTCTACTCAGTACAAATGGGCATTTTTAATATAGTAATTCATTTATTGATGCTGATTTAGCAGTATTAGGCAGCAGCTGCTACCTGGTTTAAAGAAATTTGATTTAGAAATGTACAAGTTAGAGTGATGTTCCTTCATTATTGCTTTATGTCAGAATTGCACTTCCTCATTTTGCAGTGCTGCTATTACATAAAGATGACATTTTTAAATAATAGCTTAAAAATAAAATTTTTGCTATTATAAAATTAAACCAGGAAAGTCTCTGATACTCTTATCTTGTAGTATTTTTTAATCAGTGATCTCAAGATTGTCTTGATCTCTATGAGGGGTAGCTATTAAAATGACATCCCTTAGTGATGAGGCCCAGTAAAGCATAAAACCAATGTCAAGTTAAATAACATCTCTCCTAAGAATGATACTTATCTTTTACAAAGGTAGAAAAGTCTTAATACTACCTCATCTTTATTGTGACACTTTGTAGATCACTGAGAAGCTTATTTTATTAACCAATATAACACTTCCTAAATACCCACCTTTGGTGAAAGAATCAATCAGTAGTAGCATGGTAAGACTATCTGTCATTACAGTTTTTTATCAGAATTTGATGATAAGACTTTCTGTTTCTATGAAACAATCATTATTTTAAATACTTTTCTTTTAAAAATAGCTTTTTATTAATACAGAAAAACCTAAAGGAAGACTTGCTAATGAATATTCTGTTGAAGGGTAGTTTTATAAAGAAAAATCAAATAAAATCATGTTGTCTTTTGTAACAGTTGAAAATTAGTGTTTATATGAAAGTCAGATTATTTAAGTAGCTTTTCATATAATTCAAACTGGTTGCTGTGATATATTTTCTCTGGTTTTATTTTTTTGAACTTTAAAATATTAACAGCTGCTAACATTTTCAAAATACTGCCATATATTTAGCTTTGAAGTAGATCTAATAAATGAGGGCAGGGAAGAGAGTCATGTATTCTGAACTGGTTTGTACTTTTCCTTTGTGACTGGAAAGTAGAAATATAAAGACTTGAGAAGTGAATCATGAACAATGAAAAGAAAACGAGAGTAATAAATTAATTTTTAAAACATTACAAGATTGGAATTTAGAAAGGCTAACCCCTTTCTCTGTAACGAAGTTGAACATTGTGAATATTTGAACAGTGTAAATTCCAGTCTTGAGAGAGCATTCAGCATGGTGGAAATGTGTAGAGCCAATAATGGCAAGAGAGGATGAAGCTAAAAGAAACAAGATAAAATATTAAAATTAAGAATTAAGGCATTACCTCTGGGAAAACCTTTGACAGTGAAAGGGAGCTACTTCATCGCTAATAGCTAGTCTGGACCAGACACTTAACTGCGCTTTGGGAATAATCCTGCACTAATCAGGAAATAAACTTGTCTTTTCTATCTCTCTTTGAAGCTTTTTAGGACATATTCCCCACCCTCCCTTTTTTTAAGCTATAATATCTTGATTCATACATAATTTCTTAAATATGTGGAATAGATTTTCTTAGGTTCCTTGAACATTTTTGTATGATCTTTCTATCACCTGCTGTTCACTTAAATAATTCATAGATGGAATGCTTTAATTTAAAGGAAGCTCTAATAGAAAGAAGATTAAAGGAAGCTTTTAGTCAGCCTAGGGCTAGATTTATTGATTTGGTGATCAAACCTGTATTTTTTCCTGAATTTCAGCTAATGGGTAACTGTGGTCAAAGAGTGGCTTTCAGTTAAAGTTTTAACTTATTATAAATAATACAAAGGATGTCTTAGTAATTAGAAATCCTTGAAAAAGTACAACAAATGTGGAAAATAAAACTCATCATTATACAAATTCTTTTTTTTTATAAGAAAAACACTAAACCGTTATCATTTATTCATGAGCCAAAACCATTAAGAAGACAAGTCAAGTTACCAACTTCCTGTCTATCTCAGTTCATTTTGTAGATCTACATAATAGAGAACTTCTTATGAAACAAAAACCTTGATATCTAACTCCCTTATAAATATACACCTACTTTTCATTAAAATTATATTTTTGTCACTTTTAGCTATAATCAGAGTCCAATAAACAGCTTATATATTGATTTTGGCAGAGCAAATTGCACAGGAAAGTAGACTTAAAAGATTAATTCCTGGAGACAACCCAAGGAAAACAAATTTTAAAATATAAATAGCTTGTGTAGTGTTAGGTAATTTAATGCTGAAATAAAAGTTCTAAGTCAAACTAATTTCTACTTTTTGGGTAAAAAACTACAATTTTTGTTTTAACAATCAGTTTTACACTTTTTTTAAAAATAACAAAGCACAAAGGAATTTTTTTTGTTCTTGTTATAATGGCCTAAGGCAATTGACTGCTAACTAGAAGTCTGGCAGTTCAAACCCACCAGCTGCTCCATAGAAGGAAGATGGGGCAATCTACTTCCGAAGATTTACCACCGTCAGAAACCCAGTGGGGGTCACTATGAGTCAGAATCGACTCAATGGCTTTTTTTTTTCTTTCGTTTTTTAGAAATAGTAGTGCTAGAAGAGTCTATACTATTGTAATACATTAAGATACTGGTCATAAAATGGAGGTAACTTTTGAGTAGAAATGTAGACTAGGATATAACCCAATGGAAAGGAATTTAGGGCATATGAATCCTATTCCAAGTAAAGCCAAAGTCTATTATTTACTTTCTAATTTTGAATAGATCTACTGGCTCCTAAATCTTTGCCCTCATTTCCTAACACATAATATATAGTATTTGTCACTTGGCTTCCTAAAGGTTAATTCTTCAGTTAAGAAGTGATCCTTGGAGCACACTTGAAAATAATTGCTATGTAGCTGTTAAGTACTAATGTGATAATAGGTTTTCACAGTATCCCCTTAGTGGACCCTGAAGAATTACATTAACTTCCTTTAGTTTGTTAATAGTCTTTCTTGGCTTGATTTGGCAAATCTGAATTTATAGTTTAGACTCAGCAATTAGATGAACAATTGCAATTTCCTCTTACCCTTCATAAGGTCTATGTAAAATGGATGTTTACCTAACTTACTTACAAGTTGATTACATTTGTGGGAAATACAGATAAATCACTTTTGCCATGGGTATAATATAAGCTTTTGAACTTGAAAGCCATGGTGTAAAACTCAAGGTGGTTTACTCAAATTATGCTGACTTGGCTAGAATTGGATAAAAATTGTAGGACAAGTCAGTTTGATGTATACTTCAACACGCAGAGTTTTAACTAGCAACTTCACAAAGCCATTAGTACTCTTGTCAGTCAAGTTTGTATGACTTGTTCTCCACTTCTTACTCTCAAAAGGTAGACTACTGTATTTCCATTTTTATCTCTAATCCTGAAGTTGAGCATTTCTTTTTTGGATATGAATTCAAATAAAATGATTTGAATACATTTTCTTCATAATTAAAACTTCATATATAAAATCCAAAGTCTTTGCATTTTGATTTAAAAACATTGAATGTCTTTACCTCATGCATCCAATTTAGCATCTGAAAAAAAAAGTGAAAAATCTGTTCTTACAAATTTCTTATTTATAAGGCACAGATCATTTAGTGTATCGGTTTGAGTCTTGTAAGAAGCAGAAGATATGATTAGATGTGCAAAAGTTTATTGGGGTAACACCTGGAAAGGGGAAAAGAGAAA